TGTGCTTCTGAGGTCCATGAACATTCGGAGAGTTTGTCTTCTACCTCTGCTTCGGATATTCCGCTTTCTGTGGAATTATTTTCCTCCTCTTCTACTCTGTTGCAGTTCACACTCACTTGGTGATTTTCTTCTTGTTCCTCTTCATCCTCTTCGTGGTTCAGCTTCATGTGATGACTTAGACCATCTTGCTCCTTGAGAGTTATGCAATACGTTTCCAGATTCAAGTGTGTTCTGGCTTTCCTGAGAAAGTCTATTCCCAGGATACACTTGTTGGAAAGACTTGATACTACTAATACCACTGTGTTGGCCTGATATGGGCCTATTTTGATCGTTGCGAATATTTCCTGTTGGATTTTCACAGCCCTCCCAGCCGTTGCTTCCCTTATTGAGACCCCAACAACGGGTAAGGTTGGTGCCCTTTTGAGTGTCTCTTTGTTTGTAAGATAGAATTCTTCTGATATGCATGTTATCTCACTTCCTGTATCGATTAGTGCTGTAACTGGTGTATCTTCTATGAGGATTTTTGCAATCGGACATTTCCTTATTGTCTTCCTCTTCTAGAGATCTTCCGTTAGAAGACTTTTGCGTGTGTCCTCCCCTATTCCCCGTATTCTAGTTGTGTCCCTTAGTTTTGGAGGACGGTGCTGGGGCACAACTCTTCTGCGTTTCCCGGCTGTGTGGTGTCCTGAGATGTATTTCCTTGGATCTTTCTCACATTTTGCTGCTGGGAAAATTGTCGGTTTTGTTGATTCCTCGGTGTGCTGTATCCGCTTGTTTACGCCCTCGGTTGTCCCTGCTGCGGCCTTTCTTGGTGGGAGTCTTCCCTTCGTCGTGAATTTGCTCCTGTTTTTTCTTCGTTTTTCGGTGGATATCGTTGCTGATTATCTCGGTCCGTTCTGGGATATCGACTTAGATGATCCCTTCTTGAGTTCACTGGCCCGATCTTGTCGAAGCGTTGTAAGAGGTCCAGGATTTCATCCGTGGTTTTTATGCCTCTTGCCAAGATCGCCGATCGGATATTTTCGTCGAAGTTGCGAGCTATCTTCTTGATTATTTCGGCTTCCAGAATCGGTGGTTCCACATCCTTTGGTTGCTGATGATGCGCATTGCATAATCGACTCGGCTTGTCTTCTTATTCTCATCGAACGATCCGAATTCTAGTTTTTCGGAGATTCGATATTGTTCTTCTTCGTTCCAGAATCTTCTCTTGAACTCTCTTTCGAAGTATTCCCATGCGTTAATCTTTTCTTCTACGAGTAGCCACCATTCTTTGACGGATCCCGTCATGCTCTGGAATATCACGAGTTTAATGTCTTGTTCCAATGCCAGTGCGAAGCAATATTGCTTTAGCTCTTGTAGGTATCTCATAGGTCTTGAGGTTGGTGCTCCACTGAAGGTTGGTAGAGTCATCCTTGGTGCTCCCTATGATGTGTCCAATGTCCTCGATCTTCCTATCCTAGAGGCCTGATCGCTTAGTCCAAAGTCGCTCACTCTGGGTTGTGTGCCGCCAAAGCTGCTGCTCCTAAAGGCTGGTTGACCCATGGCGGAGATGTCGTGAGTTGTATCTTTGAGTCTCCTTCCCGTATGGATCTCTGGGTTTGCAAAGCTCACTCGTCTAGTTTGACTGTGATCTTGAGTTCGGTTTCTGCTGATCGTCTGGGTTGGTTTCCTGTATCCCATTTGGTGCATAAGGACTTACATCTCCTCCCGACAGTGCAGTTCGTGTGCTGCCAGCATGCTTCTCACTGTGCCTTCGATGAGTCGTTTGTGACATGTGAGTTTCTCATCGATGGATGCTGTCACACTCGAGAATCTAGCATTCGTGATCGTCATGTGATGACTTATTGATGCCTTTATTTGTTCTAATGCCTCTAGGATTGGATTATCGTTGCTTGGTGTACTTTGTACATCCTCGATCTCTCGTTGGATAGGGACTCCACTAGTGGATATTCGTCTATTCCATAATCCGTGAGAGTCGATGGTGTATGATTCCATTGGTGAGCTTGTAGAGCAATTCGTTTCTTTCACTATGCTCTGAGAAGTCTCCACGGTTGTTTGTTCCAACCTGCTGGTCGGTCTCGTTGCTGTGTGTGTGTTCGTACATGTCGTGTTGTCTGACGTAGTCCATGCTGCCGTAGTGACGGATTCAAGCAAGGATGATGCCGTCGTGTTGATCGTTGAGATCGCTGATGTGAGAGTTGATGCGATGCTTGCCATTAATGATGTCGTCGATACAGATCCCTCGCTGGTTGAGGTTGATCCCTCGGTGGTTGACATCTTGGTAATGATGTTTCGCTTTATTCCTCTTAATGTTTATTTCTATTGATTGCCTGCCCCACGTTGGGCGCCAATGAGACGTTTCGTGATTTTTGAGTGTTCGGAATCACGAGACTTTTTGTAGGGTTTGTGCACTGGGCAGGCGTCTTCAGAAACAATTTAGACACTGGAGTTTTTAAGACAAACAAAATAATGATATATTGTCCTATAAGTTACAGACTTGGTATCCTTAATATTCTATTTTGCTCTCTCTCACACTTACATACACTTTATAATTGTCTCTAGCTTGCCAGTAGGACCACAGGCGACAAGAAGTGTTTTTGTTTACTTTATTCTCTCTGCTAGCCTTTTGGATTGGAAAGAGGTAGCTGGAACCACAATACAGCAGATTGCACAATGCGTCCGAAGACTGTGGCGTAGCTGAGGTCTGGAGAGTGAGGATTTAGAACCCATAGATGGTCACAATGACCCCCGTTCGCTGTATCACCTCGGTCGGTGCCCCGAGACAGACTGCTTTGACAATAGCCAAATCCGAGAACTAATCATTCTGATTGGTCGAGAGCCTTATACCCGATAACTCTTCTATCTCCTTCGAGTCGTCCCTTTAAACCAAATCGAGATCGTTCCTTAGCGAATCGGTACATAATCTTTGGAGATCCTCCACGGCCGCTTCCCCAGGGCATCGGGCGACAGCTGGGCACCACATCCTTAACTCAGGCAGGAGGTTCCTCTCCTGCCCTTAACCATATCAAAACTTCCTCCGCCCGCTCTACAGCCCTTTGCCCGTCTCCAGCGGGGCGCCGGTATCTCACCCGGGCTTCTGCCGGTCCATGGAGACGTCTCCGTCGGGTACTCTCCTCTGCCGGGCAACTCGGTACGTCGAGACTATATCCCCACGGCAGATTTGAGCACCTCGACCTCAACTAAACACTGACACAATCTTACGAGAGCCTTGACATAACTGTATGAATCAACCCAAGAGCGTAGCTTCTGAGCAGGGTGGCGACCCGAAGAGAACCAGAAATCGAGAACGTTATCTGTATCGGTAACCGGAGCCGCCTTGGGACCATGATTCAAAAAATCACGTCACAATATATATGTAAGCGATTATTTAAAAAAATAGTGATAAATATATATGTATAAATATAGTAATAATAGTAATATAGTAATGCTAGTGTTTATAATAGGTGTAGTATATAAAAAACTATGTACATAATTACAGGCGCGCGGCCACCACCTCATCACCGCCCTGGGCTATGACCACGGCCCTGTGGTCCACATAGTAACTGAAACAAGCTATACAGTCCAAGGGGTTATACGCATGCAGGACGCTCCGTTCACAGAGTACGCACACCCCGCTGCCTATCGGTATGGTGACATCAACCAATAAATAATGCAGCACTGCCGGGGTGTGCTGTACCCTGGTTTCGGGGTCCTGCATGCGCATGCAACAGTAGCATAATTTCACAGGGCCGCGGTCATATAGGCAGCCGTAAAAGCACTGGCCACCGTGGAGGGGCGCGAAAAACTCATTCAACGGTGGTCGAATACCGTCGAGTAGGGGCCTCTCAAATGGACTCTCCATCCCAAAGGGCGGTGTATCAGGTCTCTTCGGTTTCTTTAATAAATCTGTTTAAAGCAAATAAAAAAAAAACGTTTATTCTTATTACACTTACCACTCCAATAGCAGTAATAACTGGCGTTAGGCGTGGTGCTGTTACCGTGCTGGTTACCTTGCTGTGCAGCGTCTAGAAATAAGGGTAAAAGGTGGGAAATGTACGATACATTTTTAAAATTAAATAAAAATGTGTACTAGCTTAACGCTGTTATACATACCACTTTCTTTTTTTTTAGATCGTGTAAAATAGGTCTCTCGTCAGATCACCTTGATTACTCGTCTACAAATAAAAGTAAAAGATACAATTTTTCTTTTTTTAAATCAAATACAAAATAACGGGTACTAGCTTTCGCTTTACGCTGTTATACGTACCACATTTTATTTGTAAACTTCGCTATTTCACTTATTTTAGCTTGCACCTTTTCCTGTCGTCACAGTACTGACAAGATGCTGCGAAGATGGTTTACGGGGCACCATCTTTTTTCCCACCATGACCATAAATGTTTGCATAGTTGCAAATAAGAGATACATGTAGTAGGGGTTACGAGGGCCTGGAATTCATAGGGTTGGTCAAGACGGTAGTACCCCCCCCCCCCCC